AGCACTGCTCTGAAATAAACCCCTGTGGAAAAATGTATTCCCAACCCCACCGGTACGCCAGCAGATATTTTGTTTGAAGGTCAGCAGCTCGGAGTGCTAAGATCGCAGGGACAGTATGTAGGGTTGCCAACTTGGTAATATTTAAAAACCTGACACTCCAGCAGGAGTGCCGGAAGCACCCCTGCCCCGCCTCTTCCCCCAAATCCCCGCCCCCATACATTCCTCTTCCCCTCTCCCCCCGTCACTCACTGCTTTTCCCCTCCCAGCAGCCCCCCTGCCTGGGTCAGGAGGGACATATCTGCAGAGCTGGGGCTGGGAGCTGCAGCCACCCAATGAAGATAGGAGGTGGCCCCGGCTGAGCAGGGGATGGCACAGGTGATGACCTGTGGCCTCCCCACTCCCCCTGCCTGCAATAACTGGACTTTGGGTGTCCAGTCAGTAGATCTGACCAGACACTGTCAGGTCCCCTTTTCGATCAGACTTTCTGGTCGAAAACTGGGCACCTGGACACCCTAACAGTATGTCGTGGTGTTTTTTTATTGCCCTTGTGATTTTCCCCACTGCGGCACTTGAGTGTGGTGCTGTCAACACTGGAGCAGACATCAGAGAATTAAAGCACCATTTATTCACCCGGATGCCTGTCTCGTACACTTTACAGGATTACATACAGACGATCACATCCGAGAAAAATTCTCTTTGGATCGGATTAAACTTTAAATCTCCTGAGAGGACGTGGATTTGGGTAGACAGCTCCCCCTTCAATGAAAACCTGTGAGTTTCCTAATGTTTGTACTGTTTGTGTTTGCAAACAATCTTATTGCCTCATCTGCGGATTCAGAAGCCACAAAATGTTACACTTCACCTCCTTTGAAATTATTACAGTGTGGGAAAACTCAAGCATCCTAAACCCATGAGTTCGGTCCCCAAAATGGTGAGATTTGTTTAAAAATTATGAGTTTTTTTTTAAATAATGCATTTAGGGTTCTTTGTCTTTGCCTTCTGGTTTTTAGGGTCATATTTTCAAACAACAGGAGGGGCAGAAACTTTGTTTTTTAAAAAACAAGCTGAGATTTTCCTGTAATCACCTGACTCCGAGAGCTGTGACTTAAAGAAAAGCACAAAATAGCATGAGACTCGCAGTAAAACTGCAAGAGCTCCCAGCACTGCAGAAGTGAAGGTCACAACAAGCGTCACTGGAAAAGTTTGGGTTTTCGTGTGTATTTCAGGTGTCATGATAATCAGAGAGACATATTCAACATAACATAAGAAAGGCCATATTGGGTCAGACCAAAGGTCCATCTAGTCCAGTGTCCAGTCTTCTGACAGTGGCCAATTCCAGGTGCCCCAGAGGGAATGAACAGAACAGGTGATCATCAAGTGATCCATCCCCTGTCGCTCATTCCCAGCTTCTGGCAAACAGAGGCTAGGGCCACCATAACAAAATATTAGGGTGAGGGCAAGACATCTTTTCCAAAACAGTTTGGCTTGAGCCATACTTGCAGATTCTGGGAACGTAACCCAACCCCCAGCTCATCCTTCCCAGGTGATCAAGCATGGGAGTTTGTGTGCAGCTAATGAGGCCTGGTATACACCTAAAAGTCATGCCAATATAACTATGTCAGTTAGTAGGGTGAATTGTAACTGATATAATTACATCATTATGAGCTGTACTGTGGACACAATTACACTGATATAAAGGTGCCTGAAACCAGGACAGTGTATTCGCATACAGGAATAGCTATACCAGTATAAGCACTTTTATTCCTGTGGGTACGTCTACACTTAAAACGCTACAGCGGCACGGCTGCTTCACTTCAGTGTTGTCACTTCCTACACCAACGGGAGGGGTTCTCCCGTCGGCGTAGTTAATCCATCTCCCCGAGAAGTGGTGGACAGGTTGATAGAAGAATTGTTCTCTCAACCTAGTGCTGGCTACACCGGGAGTTCGGTTGGTACAGCTGCGTCTCTCGGTGTGTGGCTTGTTCACACCCCCCACGAGACGAAGCTGGACCGATATAAGTCCCTGGTGTAGACCAGCCCTGTCTAATTGCATCCGCTGTGGTGGGAATTTTACTGCTCTAATTATACGACTGCAGCCGAAGTTGTAAAACTTTGTAGGTTTAAAACAATGCCAGGCTAAAGCAGACGGGGGTTGGTATGTAGCTACAAGCTAGAGCCCAGCTGATTCAATGTAACAGGATCAGGCCATAAGGCTGGTCAGTCCTTGCTCTACCGGCGTTAGCCAGCTGTCTGGGCAAAAGACTAAACTTTCGTATTCCCCACGTGGGTCTCTTAAATGCCTGACGCACCGCTGGGCAGGGAGGAATGCTGCTTTCTTGACTGCTTGCCTGCATTTTTTCTATAGCCATTTCCTGGTTTTTATTCCCCCCCCCCCATTATAAGGCAGAGACTGGATGTTCCTGCTCCTAGAGAAATCCTCACATGGGACCTGATCACACCCCTGCCCAGTTACATCTTCTTGGCCAACTAGCTGCTCTCGGTGCCTATGCCCCTAGCCAGTGTTGTGTGAGTGCTAGGGTGACCAGATGTCCCAATTTTATAGGGACAGTCCCAATTTTTTCTTATATAGGCGCCAATTACCCCCCACCCCCTGTCCTGATTTTTCACACTTGCTGTCTGGTCACCCTAGTGAGTGCCTAATGGAAGCCCATAATGCTGGTGCAACCCCGTAAGGTGCCGGGGCCTCTGAACTTCCAGCAGTCTGGGCGGCTACATTTGCAACTGCAATATTGCAAGAGCAGCTTTGTTTCTTTCCATTTACTATAATATTGCTCCTTCCTCTCCAGCGCTTCGTTAGTGCCTGAGCTATCTGATCTCCCACAGCTGTGGAACAAGGGACCTGGTTGGAAACGGGAGTTGGAGGGTGATGGGGGTGGAGGAATTTCCACCCCAACCTTGGTGGACAAATAGAAACCGCCTCTGCAGAGGCCCTTGAGTTTCCCCTTTGGTTCCCCCCTCCACTTTCTCCAACTCCCCAATTTCCCCTTAAGGCTCCTCTTGTCCCTGTTCTCCCTCCCCCTCCCCCATGGCTCTCCTCCTCCTTCCCTCAAATTCCCCCACTCTCCCTAACTCTTTACCTCCTCTATCAGATTCCCCCTTCCCTGGTTCCCCCTACTCCCTCCTAGCCCCTTCCTCTCTGATACCTTTTCCCCTGGAGTTTTGAGAGGAGACAAGGAAGGGGGGCGGGATCTCCTTTCTCTGCCTGAGGCCCAGAGCCAGTCAGAAATGGGGAAGCTTTGGAAGCTAAGGGGATGGGGACATCACCAACTATAAGTGCAGGGAAACCAGGAAGAATTTTGAAGTGGCATGTGCCATTCCCTGCTGCTTAAAACACCCGTCCCTCTCCCCCCATCTCAGCTGAACACACGGTCACGCCATCTCTACCCCTCAAACAGGCATTGATTAATCAGAGATTAAGGCCCAGAACCCCAGAGATATCTTGGCTCCTAACTCCCATGGATTTTAGTATTTAAGTAGAAGGGATTAGGGCCCTAACTTCCATTGAAATCAGGGAGAGTTCGGAGCCTAATTACCTTTGAGGATCAAGGAGTGACTTGCCCAAGGTCATGCAGGGAATCGGTGGCAGAGCCTAGAACTGAGTGCTGATCTCCTGGGTCCCCACCCAGTGCAGCCTTCCCTTTGAAACAGGAAAAAAGAAGCCCCAGTTTCCTGCCCCACGGGGCCGCTACAGACCCAACTCCCTGCGAAGTCTATACACATTGGCAGTGACTGTCTCTTTCATTCTGCAGGTTCCTCGGAGCAGGGAGGCCCGGTGGAAGGGACTGCGGGGTGTTAAAAAGAAACCAGATTGCATCGGAAACCTGCAGCGCTGAATTAAAATGGATTTGCCAGAAGAACGCGCTCCTGATCTAAGCAAGGCCGTTCCAGCTCTGTTGTTGATGCAATTGATGGAGAAAAGGCCTTCCGTCTTGGTCTGTCCCGTGAAGATTATCGCAAGGGCTACGTAACTTTCTTTGTTCCATGGTTTGACACATCTGGGGCCAGATCCTCAGCTGATGTAAATCGGCAAGGCCTCGTTGAAGTCGGCAGAGCTGGGGGGCAGTTTACGGGAGATGGGGATGATGCGCCGTGGTTAATTCACTGCTCTGGCTGAATGTTCTCATGTTGTGCTGTTAAGAGTCTTTTCCCTGGTTCTATCTCGCTCAGAGATTCACGGTGGGACTGGACACCAAGCAACTCCCTTGTAGGCTGTCACAGCTTCCAAAAACCACAGACAGCAGGAAGGAGCCCTGCCGCCAACCTGGGGCTGCCAGGTTTTCTAAGCACGGTCCTCACTAATTGCCTCTGAGCAGGATTAGATGGTCAGTTGTGGGTCCCATACACCTCCCTGTCGTTTATGGCACTCACTCTCTTCAGGTGTGTTCAACTCAGACCCCGATCCTGCGGCATTCTAAAAAAATTTATTGTCTGAAGATGTCAGTTCAATTCAATGGTCTGTCTAGCTGGGATCCTCTCTCTGGCAGCAGCCACTGCCCCAGAAAAAGGAATAAATCTCCTATAGCCGTGGTTTTAAAACTGTGGGTCGCAATCCAGTTCTGGGCCACGGAATATAAGGCACTGGGTCCCGGCGGCTCTGGTTAGCAGCGCCGACCGGGCCATTAAAAGTCCTGGCAGCGGTGCTGCCCGGCTAAGGCAGACTAGTCTCTACCTGTTCCAACACTGTGCTGTGCCCCAGAAACGGCCAGCAGCAGGTCCGGCTCCTAGGCAGGGGGGCCATGGGTCTCTGTGTGCTGCCCCTGCCCCGAGCACAGGCTCCACACTCCCATTGGCCAGTTCCCGGCCAATGGGAGCTGTGGGGAGGGGCCTGCAGGCGAGAGCCGCGTGGAGCCACTTGCACGCCTCCACCTAGGAGCCGGACCTGCTGCTGGCTGATTTCAGGGCGCAGCATGGTCCGCAGTGCCAGGACAGGCAGGAAGCCTGCCTTAGCACCCCTGCTGAGCCGCTGATCGGGAGCCACCTGAGGTAAGCCCGTGCTCCAACCCCGCACCCCAGTCTCCTGCCCCAGCCCTAAGCCCCTCCCAAAGCCAGAGTCCCTTCCGGCCCCAGCCGCAGCCCTCACCCCCGCACCCCAACCCTCTGCCCCAGCCCTGAGTCCCTCCCATACCCCAAACCCCTCATTCCCAGCTCAACAATTTTGTTCAACTGGGTCACCAGAAAAAAAGTTTGAAAACCACTGTCCTTTAGGAACGGTTATTCCAAACTGCTCCATTCTGGGGGGACACTTCTCTCCGGTCTGGCAGCTGGGGAGGCTGTTGTGTGCTCTAAAGCAGGAGGGTTTGGGGTCCTTGTAACTTTTTTCTAAGCAGAAAAAGTTCCTTGTTGCAGCATCGCCTGCCTGATATGGTGTCAGGCTATGCTGCCTCAGTTTCCCCTCTCTCAGGTGGGAATCTCCCGACCTTCCAGCCTCGCTTGGTTGTTGCAGGGACCTGGACCTCCAGCTAAGTTGTAAAAGAAAAGTCCACCCCTTCCAGTGTCTCCGAGGCCATAAACAAACATAACCGTGGCTGCTACCCAAGTCTCAGGCTGGGCACAGCCTCTCCTTTCTCAGGAGCTGTCTTCTTGCTTCCAATTCTTCTGCTTATTCACCGTTCTCCCCATAGACCCTCCTGGGGTTCTTAGAGTCTCTACCAAGCACCAACCCCCAGGGCTTCCTACCTGGCATCTCCCATCTTCTGCGCCACAAGCTTCTGTCCTCTCTCCACCCCCACAGGCCTGATTTAGCCCCGTGACCTGCCTATCATGTGCCTTTGCTTATTTTTTCCACCTGGGGAAGCAAGCTGAGTGTAACAGGTGGGGCTGGGACCCGCCTCCACTTAAAGGGCCACCCACCCATTTTCCATCTAAATGTCCAGTCTGTTTTTGAATCCTGCTGAGCTCATGGTCTCAATAACATCTTGTGGCCTTAGTTCCACAGGATACTTAAGCAGTGTGTCAATAAAAGATTTATTTTTTCATTGTTTTAAATGTGCTGCCTTTCCATTTCATTGGCTGCCCTCTCGATTTGATTTATTTTTTCTTGGACTAGATACCTACTGATCATCTATGCATTACGAATTAGAGTAAGACAGTTCGCATCTTTAATGAGAAGACTTGTTTGGAAGCAGCAATTGAGTGTCATTACTTTTCCGTCCCTTCCGGACTATTCTCTTTTCGTTTCCCATATCGATCAGGTTTGGCACAGATCCAGTTCTTCTCCGTCTCACAGCTTGACGAGCTGACGCCTACATCATTCAGATACGCACAGGCTCCTCCTCCCCTTACTTCGAACCTGCAACCAGAAGCCGCGGAGCTAGAATCAGTCCGTAGCCAAGGCTTGTCGGCAGGGCCGGTGCAAGGAAGTTTTGCGCCCTAGGCGAAACTTCCACCTTGCGCTCCCTGCCCCAACCCCGCCTCCGCCCTGAGGCACCCCTCCATGTCAGCTCCCCGCCCCCCAGGCCCGGGGAGCCGTGCGGCAGCTCCCTACCCCAGCCTCACCTCTGCCTCCGCCCCTCCCCGAGCACGCCGTTGCTGCTCCACTTCTCCCGCCTCCCAGGCTTGCGGTGCCAATCAGCTGTTTGGCGCCGCAAGCCT